ACTGTGAACTATAATTGGAATATAACTTTTGATTTTGAATACAATTGGAATATTAAGTTTAATTTAATGTTAAATTTCGAATACTATAATTTGTATATTAAAAACATTTAATGTTAAATTTGAAAAAAAAATAACATTAAAATATAGCTGGATCACCGATGTCGTCTTCTCGAATGAGTTCCACATGGCGGTTGTTGTCTATTTCGCTAAGAATTTCTTCGTGGAACTTGTTCTTCAGTATCCTCATCTTCACTATCATCATCGTCATCAATGGTATTTTCTTCGGCTGGTGTTGTAGATGATGCTGAAGGGCCTGTATAAAATAAAGACCCTGGACGAGTGCTATTAACAAACCCACCGCTCATAGAAAATTGAGAAAAGTGTGAAAATATTGGCATCGATGTCTGTGATCTAGATGGAGATTGAGGTGTCTGTGGAGAAGGACCACCAACCAAATAAGAAGCATATGAACCATATGTTGGATCATTAAACATAGCCGTATATGCACCTCCATATGGTGTCATAAAACCCTGCGGGCTAGGCATATAACCTGGCGGGCTAGGAATATAACCCTGAGGGCTAGGAATGTAACCCTGCGGAGATGGCATATAAACTGGTGGGCTTGTCATATACCCCTGAGGAGATGACATCTGAACTGGAGGGCTGGGCATCATCATCGGTGGATAGGGATGTTGTGGTGGGACTGATGCAGAACCGGTAGCGCCTTCTCTCCGTCCACGAGTCAGGGGACGATGATATTGAGACGGTGGACGTCTCTCTTTACGCCTAGGAATGTTATCCCCTCGTGCTTCAGCCAAAAGTAGAAACGACTTTCCATTTTCATTAAATCAGTCCATATAGTTATCCGTAATCATATGACCAGTTTCAGCGTAAAATTGTCGAGTGGCCAACTGTGTATAATAGTTCTCCCAAAGCGCAATCCAATCTATGTGTCTCACCACCCAGTTAACCTCTTTCTTGCCTTGTCTATCGATGTTATGCATGTCGTCTAAATTCCTAGGTGCTCTAGGAATATATTGCGTACAACCAAACTGACGGAGCACGCGATTAACTGGATGTCACTCAATGATAGCATAACATATAAGAGGTACAATTGACATCAAAACCTCTAATGACCCACTAAGGTGGGGTGGGATGCAAGCCTTTACTTCATCGCTTGCATAAGGTATCCACTGAAACTGAAATATAAATATACAATTCAAATAAATATAATATTCTAATTATATCTAGCATTTTAAATTAAAATATTCATATTTAAACAGATTTAAAAACATACCTCAAACCCAGCTTTTGTATCAATAAGTAAACGAATTTCCTCTAACCCAGTAGGTATACTTCTATGGTTCTTTCTTTTCATTGACCACCTATGAAATATAATTTAAACTAAACATCATCCTATTTAATTAAAAATATTTAAATCAAAATTTAGTTCGAAAATTACCTCAATAATAAGGGGAATACGTATGGTTCATTGACGATCGAGCATATGAAAGGCATGCGGAACCACACCCATGATTGCAGAAGCATGAGACATCCACCGATAGCAGTTTTCTTATAATTCGTCGTACGACACATTTCTCTAAAGATAAATGCCAAAACTGCAGCGCCCCAACTATATCTTCCAACTTCATCAAAATCAATCAGATGCCGCAACCACATACAATGTACCTGATTGTGAGATTTGTCGGGCATCAATATTCCTCCAATTATTCGTAGAATATAAGCCCGAGCACATGCCTTTGCTTGATCCTCTGAAGCATTTTCATTCAAAACTTCAAAATTAGCTTTCAAACAAGATAAAGCTATTCTACCTCCATTAAACTCTGGCGGAGCAGCTCCAAGATACTCTATGCACATTGACTGCCAATCACTATCCGCCATACCACACATAATGTTTCCGTCGACGGGAAGCCCCAGATGCATAGAGACATCCTCCAATGTAATTGTAGTCTCTCCACATGGAAGATGAAATGTGTGTGTCTCGGGCCTCCACCTCTCAATCAATACAGAAATTAGGACAGGTTCGAGTTTGCAACCGCCAATAATTGTTGTAATATACCGAATCCAATAGAAGAAAAATATGGCAAAATACGTTGCGGTGTCGGTATACGTGGATTTTTAATAAAAGTCTCTAAAATACGATCAGTTTCCTAAATAATATGCATTATAAAAATTTATAATTAATATAAACTCATTATAAATCTAAATTAAAAATAATAATAAATATTAACATTAATTATAAAAATATATTACCATATCACTAAAATGTCTGGAGATATGGTTTGCATCCAATCGCAACAGCATTTCACTTTCCATTATAACTGCAGACAAAAAAAATATAATTAGAACAAAAAAATAATTAAAATAAATAATAATTATATAAATATTATTTTAATAAAAAAATAATATTTATATAAATATTATAATAAAAAATATAACAACTATTTAAAATAATAATAACTTAAACAAAAATTTCTTACCAATAATAAGAAATTTAAAACTCAAATGAAAGGAGAATTTGAGTTATATAAGAGATGAAGAGATGTTTTGGTGTGAAGAATGAGGGGGATTGAGGGGGGTTTATATAAGGGAGGAAGAGGGGTAGTTGGGGGAAAATGGATGGGGGCATTTATGGCATTTAATGGAATGCGCGTCCCCGGGGATGCGTCTTCCCCACGTGGCAGCCACATCCTCGGGGATGCGTCTTCCCCACGTGGCAGCCACGTCCCTGGGGATGCGCCTTCCCCATGTGGCAGTCGATTCATCATAATCCCATGAAAGCGCATCCTCGGGGATGCGTCTTTCACACGTGGCATCCGACTCAACATAAACCCAGGTAAAGCGCATCCCCGGGGACGCGTCTTTGTGCCACCTCAGCCGAAAGGGTGCTACTTTGGGAAATATTGGTCAACGGGTGTTATAACAGGAGAATTTAAAAAAAAATGGGTCAGTTAGGTCAAAACTCCCTGGGTAAGTAGGGCACGTGTGGTTATTCCCTTCGTTCTTTGTTGGAAACTCAATCGTACACACAAGTTCTACAGGTTAGATCGGCAGTTGTCACTCTGGAATGACCATGTTTGGGGTGCGTTTTTAGGAGAAGGCTCAGGGATGAAAATAATTGTTTTAATTTTTAGGGAAGATCTTGACCCATTTTATCGATCAAGAATTTAGTCTATACTCGCGCACCGATTATTAATGAGAACAAATTTGGTTCGACAATCGTTAACGATTTATCCCTTCTAATTTAGGTGAAGAGCTACAACCGCTAGTTGGTGTTTGAAAATAGGAGGAAATGAATTGTCACGAGGAAAAATAAAATGGGTCGATCGATTATGGGTGATCCATCCTCCTTTCCAGTTTTGATTGAGGGTATTTATAATGACTTTTAGTGCTTGTTAGTCGTAGGATTATGATATTTTTTGTAGGTTGATCATACTAGAAAAATCTGGTGGTTAGACTTTAGATTTTATCATGGTATATCACGTAGACCTGTCAGAGGTGCCTATGCACTATAACTGACTAGAAATATGTGTTTAATGGATGTACACTGATTGAAGGCTCTGGTAGACGTAGAAATTTTTAGAGATCATATCCGAAGATATAATAATTTTAAAAATAAACTATGGGTATTTTCTTCCTTATAAAGTTATTACAAATTTAACTTAAATAGTCTCATTTAAAGCGCTAGTTTATTTACGAAGTTTGGAGGGCATTAATATATTTAAAATTTTGAATAAGGGAAAATTTTATGAGATATCTCTAGATTTTTTATGACTAAAGCTTTTCCTTTGAAATGCAGTGACATCCATCTAAGACGGGTCACCCTTAGTTTTAAAAGGCACTATACACATCGAGACACAAAGGGTTTCTGGAACCTAAACGTAAAGCGAAGGCACACATCTTTTCTAGGTAATACATACTCTTAGTTTTAAAAGGCACTATACACATTGAGACACAAAGGGTTTCTGGAACCTAGAAGTAAAGCGAAGACGCACATCTTTCCTAGGCAATACATACTTTTTATGCTAAAAAGTTATATAATTTGTTTTAAAGTATATTCATACCCATTATCCACTAGTTCATTCCTAAAACTCTTAATCTCCTCTTCATGCCCTTTTCTATGATTCATTTCTATGATACTACAGGGAAAAGCTAAGAGAGGTTCGTTTTTAATTCTTTTGGACAGAGTTTATGATTTATTAAGCCGAGAATGAAATGTTACTTTGAGACATATAAATAGGGATGCGAATAAGGTAGCCGATAAAATGGCAAGGATAGTTGCAAAAAGAGGCGATGCTCATAGGATCTTCTACAGTCCACCTCTGGAAGTAATTACTTTACTACAAGAGGAGTCTGCTGTTTGTATTTTGGAAGTAGAGAATTAAGTGCTAGTCTTTACCTTTATTTGTCCAAAAAAAACTTAATTTTGATAAGAACAAAAAAAATAACTTAATTTTGATAAGAAAACATGAATACAAGACAATTATATGGTCGCCACGTGAAACAATAACTTGTCCATACAAGTAAACAAAAGAATGGTGAGAAACACATAACCTTCGAATAAAATCATCTGTTCATGTTCAACACCTTTCTCTTTGTCCCTTTCACCAAAATCTACCATGTATTAATTTATATTTAATTATATTATTTATTTTAAGGTTACAAATTAATTTTATTATTAATTTAAAATCTTGTATAACTCTAAATTACTATAAAAGTTAACTTTTATATTAAAATTTAATATTTTAAAATTTTAAAATTTATTTTATATATATTTTTAAATAAATTATTTAAAAAATATAAAAATAATATATTTTTGATTAAAAGCAAGTAAACAATTACAGAAATTCTAATGGAAATAAATAAATATTAGAGTTGGACTATAGATTGGGCCGATTAATAGATAAGCTTTTATGTGTTAGGGTTAAGGAATGAGATAAAGAGTTTTGTGCCGTTTTCTTCCTATTTTCTTATCCCTAAGTCGTCAAAAGAGCACGCCTAACTCTTTAGCAGATCTGTTTTTCTCTTGCTTTCTTTTTTCTCCCATTAGCGATCTTAGTAAAGAAGGATGAGGAAGCTAAAGTTCCACGAGAAAAAGCTGTTGAAGAAAGTTAATTTCTTGGAATGGAAAAGAGAAGGTGGCCACCGAGAGAATCTCATAATGCACCGTTATCATGTCACTGGTCGTGACGATTATAAGAAGTCAATAATTTCTCGACACTTAATTTTTCAATTGAGTTCATTGATGATTTTGGGTGTATATATATATATATATCTGTTAACTATGGTGGGCTAAAATTGATAACAGATATTCAAGTTTGTGCCGGATGGTGCAGAAGTTGGTGAATATATTGAAGCAGATGGATCCCCGAGACCCTTTTCGAATCGAGATGACCGATTTGCTGTTGGAGAAACTGTGGGTATTTCTTGATTGGAATATGATTTGCTTCATTCTAATTTTACATTATAATGAGTATTTCATGTTGTTAACATCTAGAAGAACATGTAGTGTTTGCATTTGTTTTCAGTTTGCTGCATGCTTTAGAAAATGAACTTAGTCGAAGATCAGGATTTGAGATTTCGGAATTGTTGGCTCGATCTTTCATATCTTAAACAAAAGACTTGATTCATATGTGGTTTCCTTATCATTGGCAGATACAATATGGGCGTAATCCCAACCAGGAAAAGCTTGGCTCTATGTGATCGGTTATCGGTATCATCTTTTTGTAGGTAGGCAAATTAGTCCAACGATGCTCATATGAAAGCATGTCGTCTGTTGTATCAGAAATTCCTTCATGTGCCTTGCTTCTTTCATATGGTTACTCCATTTATATTCTCTGCTTGCAGGCGTAGGCTCTCAACTGTTTTGGTGCACCTAAAGTTTGCAGAGCACTTAAAAGAAGCAGTCACATATATCGAGCAGGGACATATTCGAGTCGGTCCAGATACAGTTACGGACCCGGCATTCCTTGTAACAAGGAACATGGAAGACTTCATTACGTGGGTAGACACATCCAAGATACGTAGGAAGGTGTTGGAATACAATGAGAAGTTGGATGATTATGATGCCATGAACTGAAATGAAATGTACACCTATGTTTAACCTATAGAACAATATTTTCGGGCATTATTAGGCATTGTTTACAAATATTTAGACTAATTTCCATGGTGTTAGTGACAGTGATATAACACTTGTGTTGGATTCCATGTTGCCGTGAATTGAAACTTGAGATCATCTAATGATATAGGCGTCTTGTTTCGCTTTTTGTTTTCTATATTTCCGACTTCTTGATTAAGAGATAAAGGATGAATAACCAAACCACCACACCGCGAAATTTAACGAGAGGAAGGTGGCAGTAATCCGAATATTAACTAACTTTCAAAGTTATTTTCCTGGCAACACATCCGTCATAGTGTTGTAACTGTAACAGTATTATAAACAAGGAAAAAGATATAGAATATAGCGGGAACACGTGTATACAAAGATTGCAAATAAATCAGGGACGTGTTTCAGTTATCCTAAAAAAGAGCTTTAAAGCTACATTTTGTTGTTGTGATGTCTTTTGATGTCCGGTTTTTAATTTTTCGTTATAAAAAATATATATTTTCTTTTCGGAGAGATTTACTTGTTTTGCTTTGATGGTTTCTGTTTTAACCTGAAAATTTTGTTTTCTGAAACTCCAAAGAAATCAAATTCAGAAAAGAAAAAAGAAGAAGAAAAGAACTCTGGATTCTGGGTTTCTTTTCCCGTTTTCTTTTTATTGGGTTTCATTGTCATTGTTAATTGTTTGTTTTATGTTCTTTTTATAGGAAATAAAGATGGTTATTTTCCATAGATAAAATCCAAGCGTTTGATTGTAAGGAATCCACACAGAATCATTGCTATTGTGGTCGTCTGAATTAGATTGGCGTTGGATATTGGAATTTACCACCGACAGGTTTGTATTTTGCATGAAGCTTATGTGTTTGGTTAATGTTCTCAATGACAACAATCCGACAAATTTGTTTATAAAATGATGTTTGCAGATCAGAAGAGACTTGGGGCTGTTTGATTCCGGTGTTTCTATCTCCAGAACTCGGACAGCACCATTTTTGTTTTATAGCAATGGAGGAATTCAGACAAATCGGTGAAGTTTTGGGAAGTTTAAGAGCTCTCATTGGCTTACAAGACGAGCTTCAAATTAATCGACGACAGTGTCATCTGTTGTTAGATGTCTTCGGTCTGGCTTTCGACGTAATCGCCGAAGAGATCAAGCTGAGCCTGAAACTCGAAGAAAAGAACTCGAAATGGAGTTCCCTCGAGAGCCCTTTGCGAGAGCTTCAAAGGATCTTTAAAGAAGGGGAATCGTATGTGAGACAATGTATGGACAAGAGAGACTGGTGGGTTAAGGCAATCAATCTCCATCAAAACAAGGACTCCGTCGATAATCACATCCACAATTTACTTTGTCATTTCCCGGCAGTCATTGAAGCCATCGAGATGGCTGGCGAGATTGCAGGGCTCAAAGAGGATGAGATACAAAGGAGGAGAGTCACACTTTCAAGGAAGTATGACGCCGAATGGATTGATCCTAAACTTTTTCAGTTCCGGTTCGGAAAGCAGTACTTGATCCCTCGAGAGATTTGTAGTCGGTTTTAGAGTGCGTAGAGGGAGGATCGATGGAACCTTGTCGAAGCTCTGAGGGAAAAGAAGTGTTCGGATTCGGTAACGAAAAACCAAGAGCAGCAAGCTGGCTTGTTAATCCGGAAAATTATCGGATCAGAGGCTTATAATGGTAAACTTTTCCCTGGTTCACTTTTGTACGGAGGGGATTACCAAGTAAGGCGAAGATTTGGGGGACAGTATAAGGAAATCCAGTGGTTGGGAGATAACTTTGTGTTGAGAAACTTCTTTGGGGATGTCGAAACGTCATGTTCCGAAATCACTACATTGCTTTCACTTACTCATCCGAATATACTGCAATACCTATGCGGATTTTACGATGAAGAAAAGAAAGAAGTGATGCTTGTTCTCGAGCCAGTGAACAAGGATCTCGTTTGTTATTTGAAGGAGAATTATGGTTCGAGAAGGCGGATCTTGTTCCCTCTTTATGTTTTGGTTGATCTTATGTTTCAGATTGCAAGAGGAATGGAATATCTGCATTCAAAGAAGATTTATCATGGAGAGTTGAACCCTACTAACATCTTTCTAAAAGCTAGGAACAATACCGAAGGTTGTGTCCATTTGAAGATCTTGGGTTACGGTTTATCCGATGTCAAGCCTCATTCATCCCCGAACGCATCGCCAAGGAGGTATGGGCCCAACCCTACCATTTGGTATGCTCCGGAAGTTATGCTAGAACAAGAGCAAACGTGCAATGGCTCCTCCGTTTTGAAGTACTCAGAGAAGGCAGATGTGTACAGTTTCGGGATGCTTTGCTTTGAGCTCTTGGCTGGGAAACCGCCATTCGAAGGACATGAAGAGAAGATGAGTATAAGTATCATTGCAGGGGAGAGGCCTCTTTTTCCCTGTACAGCGCCAAAATATCTTGTCAACTTAACAAAAAAGTGTTGGCAAACGGATCCTAATCAGCGTCCGAGTTTCTCATCAATTTGTCGGATTTTGCGCTACATCAAGAAGTTCCTTGTGATGAACCCTGACCATGAAAATCCCGAAATGCAATGTCCTATTGCAGATTATTGTGAGATAGAGTCATGGTTTGCAAAAAAAATCACTGCAAATAGGACTTTCAGTCCACTTTCAGTTGCACAAATCCCATTCCAAATGTTTGCTTATCGACTCGCTGAGAAAGACCGAACTGTTATGAACACGAAGGATAAAAACGACGAGTTAATGAGCCAATTGACCTTGACTTGCAGAGATGACAATGTTTCTATAATAGATGATCCATTGACAGGAGCAACTGATAGAACGTCTGTTGGTTCTGATGCCAAATCTCGTGGTTCAGATACCAAGTCTGTTTATTCGGATGTCAGGTCATTCTACAGCGAGATTCCGGAAAGGAGATCGATCCAAATTCGTACACAACCGAAGAGACAAATTTCCACCAAGACTCCAGAGAAGAAAGTTGTAAGCACAAAGAAAAACACTAACGTGAATGCCAAGAAAAGTCCAGGTTAGATATATAGCTATCACTTTCATTTCCAATCATGGTGTGTGTGTGTATATATATAGTTCAGGTCATATATAATATGTGGAGGATAATGAATTGAACAATTTATTCAATGTTGGTAGGGGCATCAAATGGACAACCTACTAGATCATCGACCTTGAATCGGGTTCACAGTACTGGGTTAATCCAAGAAAACCGTTCAACATTCGTTACAGGTTCCTTCACCAGATCCCGGCATCGAATGACAGCAGCAGCACCAGGTCATACCTCAGATTAGCCCCATTTAATCAACATAATGAACTGGATTGCATCATGAATTTCCACAATGCATAACGAGACCTAATGGACAATTTACACAACCATCGATCTCGAATCCTGTTTGCAGCAGTCGGCAAATGAGCAGCAACAGCCGGTCAAAACCTCAGATTAACACCCATTAATCACCATTAAAAACAAGATTGTCTCGTGAATTACCATGATGCATGTTGGACTCTGCATGTTTTTCATCATAATTCTTTCAATTTTGATACAAATTGTAGGAATAGTATGTAATATATATAAATGTATATGTACTATATATACATTTTTTTACGTTGGATTGATTAGTGCATACATAATAGTATGAACTAAACTAGTATATTAACACGAGGGATAAATAGCTTTTTTAAATACATCTGGGGTAAATACAAAGTGATATATGTTTAAAAACTTTCAACCAATTAACTATGAACGCTCATACTCCTGTCGGTGCTTGAACCTATTAACCTCTAAGGAGAACAACGTTTCCCTTAACCACTAAGATCAACTGGTTCGTGTGGAGGATAAATAGCTTAAATAAATTACAAATGATATAATATATCTATTTTATTTTAATGGTTGAAGTATTGGTATTGCACAAATAAAAGATAAGTATTGTTTTATAAAACAAATTATACATGATAAATTTGATTCAAACTCGATCATTTGAACTAATTTATCTGATCTAAGATCGATATAGACCCAAATATGATGGTTCAAACTTGATTCGAAATTCGAAATAAATTGAACTAAACCAAAACTGTGGAAATTCTAGAACGAACTTTTCACACCGAAACACACCACTAATGTGATGTACCGATGTACACTACTAATCAATTTGTCCTTATTAAATAAATGTTAAAAATTCTAATGACCTATCGACCATACCCTTTATTAAAATTTAGTTTTAATTGTAATAAGTATATAATTAAATCATGATTTTTTATTAAAAAATATGATTAATTTAGAATTTTATTTGTTTAAGATTCAAATACTTAAATAAATTTGCAAATTCATCACCAACAACAATATCAGAAATCAACCGCCGGCGACCATTGCTCATCGCCCAAAAACCATTTTCATTCGGAAAACCTCCCAAGTAGATCGGAACATACCGGCAATAATGGAACATGTGGTTCTGTCCTTGCTCTGAAAGTTGATTCTGTCCGAAGTATTTATCTCCACAATTATGAAAGACTTGTTTCTTCCATTAATTTCAGAGGAAAAGCATTCGAATGTCTCAATCAAGCATTGAAAATAGTAATAGAAGAAATGTAAATTTCATCTTAATTAACAAGTAAATCCCCAGAAAAGCTCGTTCACATTTCTAAGCACCCCATCAATCTACCGTCATTCACAGCGATTCAAACGAAATACAACAATGATTCAAAGTAGTGAACAATGTAAGAACATGTATAGATTTAAGGAACTGCAGTAAGCCGAGCTTCATATGTAAATCCCCGGAAATGCTCATCCCCGTTTCCAGGCACCCCATCAATCCACCGCCATTTGCAGCAATCGGCACTGGTCTGTAAAACAATTCAAGGCTTTCATACTTGTGGAGATTAATACTTCGGAGTTCGGTCAAAATCGACTTCCAGAGCAAGGATGGATACCACATGTTCCATTATTGTTGGTATGTTCCGATCTACTTGGGAGGTTTTCCGACAACAAAAATGATTTTCCAGAGATGAACAATGGTCACCAACGGTTGATTTCTGATATTGTTCTTGGTGATGAATTTG